GAGATAAGGCTGTTTCGTCAGTCTCACCAACTCATGAGACGTTGTTCGTTTTCGGATGGTGGGTGTATAGTGTTTGGCATTCTGACTCTGCAATGGATTCATCCATGCTCTTTGCTTATCTTCTTACACTAACAGATCAGAGGCAATTCAAAAAAAGAGTCCAAAAAAAAAAAAAAAAAAAAAAAAAAAAGAGCAGCACATCCCGTCACTCATGTTTCACATGCTGCAGGGAGATTCGCTAAGACGCAATTCAAAAGAACAGCACGTCCCGTCGCTCATGTTTCACATGCTGCAGTGAGTTCGACAATCCCTGTAGCAAGAAAGTCATTGTCACATGCGATATACGATACATAGCAAGATGACATTGCCACGTACCGTACATAGACAATAGTCATAGAGAACTGTACGGTGAGTCGTGCGGAAGGGAATAGGACAAGAAACAGGGGGCTGTGACAGACTGTTTTATTGGAGTTTCACTGGCTGGTGAGGACATGCAAAGGTAGGTCAATACGCTGCAGAGTCCTCTAATATGGTACTGGAATTTCTGGAAGTGATAATCCTCCTCTACTCCAGTTGCAGGTAAGCACGAGCCACTGCCGTCTAGACTACATTTGATGAGAATCAAAGCACACAATCACCCACCCATCCACACCAGGCGGAAGACTCTGCAGACTGCAGGTTCACACCTAATCATAAGCCGACGAAGCCCCCATGGTATTATATATTTATGTACATATATCATCATAGAGAACTGTCCGGTAAAACCGTATAGACAGAAAGGAAGAAAAAGGACGAGAAATCAGGGGCTGTGACAGTGTTTAGTCGGAGTTTCATCGACTCATGAAGAGTCTGAAGACTCTGAACACAAAATCTGCAGAGACCCCTAGCCAACAACAACAATGTTAAGTGACAATCCACCCTAACCCAAGTTGCGTTTGGACACTGCCGCACAACTGATAACCTTAAGTGTGCGCCAACCACTGCCCTCGAGGGCAGCTGTGACAACTATCACCTACCCAAACGAGACAAAGAATCTCTCTATGTATACTAGCCAGAATTCCCAACCTATACATTGTCATAAAGAATTGCCCAGTGAGCTGTAGGCAAGGAGGGAGAACACGACAACAAACGAGGGGCAGGGAGATAGACTATACATAGACTCATAGAGAGTATTAGAGACTTGCATATATA